CCGGCAAGCTTAGCACCATCTGAGAAGTTTTTAACCAACTGGGATTTATTTACAAAAGAAATAGACGGTAAAAATATAAAAAACAAATGATTTTTAATGAATTCATAAAAATATATTACTTGCCTAGTAAAATTAATTCATAAAAAATTTATCCAAGTTCTTGGCCAGCTAAAAAAAATTTCTCGCAGAATTTAATGACACGGACACTTGTCCATCTGCATTAATTTAGTACTTAGAATGACAAATAACATATATTTGCTCAAAAAAAAAATTTTTTTTACAATACTCGTTGCAGGACAAAGTAATTATTCAAATTTATTCATTTTATTTGTTTTATTCGAATAAACCTTATTCGAACCGTTAAATAATAATAATAATGGAGGGATATTATAATAACAATAGTAAATAATAGTAAAAATAATTAATGATATATGACGTAACTAAAGTATTGACTAAAGATAGTTTCTCATCAGCACCATTTTGACGATTTGACTAAAGTAAAAGCCCTTGAAATAAGTAAAACCACTTGACAAAGTAAAAGCGCTTGATACAAGTAAAACACTTGATACAAGCAGCAATAGTAATAATGATAATAAAGAACTATTATATCATTGTGTGTATATTGCAAGAAGAATAATTATCACGAGAAATTTATAAATGCTATAATTTGAATTAGAAATTTTATTTTCAAAATAAAAATTCCTCTTCTTTTATTATCATTACATTTCATATAATCAAATTGTCTTTACATTGCATATGAGTTGTGTTAAATTGATGTTTTTGACTTTTGAAGTTAGTTAATTACGCGTAATAGTAATACGCAGTAACATTAATAATGTGCTTGAGTTGTATTTAGTGTCTAAGTTTGAAGCAACATAGGTTGATCAATATTGGTGGTACTTAGAACGAACTTTACATAGCACATAAGACAGCACATATTTTTGTAGGTTTTAATTTAGTTTTCTATTTTTATCACTTTCAAAGAATGCTGAAATTATTTTATTGTTTAATCGCGATAAATCGATCACTAGAGTTTAGTGATGATGAAGTTATTCTTTAAATAATGCAATTTTCGCTTTTCAACTTGCATCCTTATTATTATCAATTAATCTTGTTAGGATTCGTGCCTTTTACTTACACAACGATGTCACTTAGGTCAAGACAATAATCTATTTTATTGATTAAAAATAAAAATAAATAGAACGGCCGTTCCCACGTTTTTTTTTTCATAACCTCTCTCTCTCTCTCTTTTTCGACCAAACTTAACCTCTTATTATTATTATATTCATTCACAAATCAGAATTTCGTACCCAATTAAGCCAACCCAAAATCAAAAAAAAAAAAAATCCAACCACATCAATTAAATTTCAATTAAAAAATCAGCTAGCGGAATAGAAAATTTGTTGTTAAAGAATTCATTCAAGGTTTGTGCATTTCTTTTAAACCTTTTTGATTTAAAGAAATTTAATCTCTTATACTCATCATTTATGACATTGACGTCTACTTTTAAGCAGTCAAAATCAAAAGACAGAATGTTCAACGACTTCTAGGAAAAAAGTTCGACTCATCGCCACGTAGATTTGTACTGGTGCAAACACGTTATGGTCTACAGTCAAGGTTGCATGTGGCAGTGTTAGGCCTCAAGTCTTGTGCACTGTAAGAGCAAATTAAAATGCATTCTGCAACGGAAATTGATACCTTGATGCCGGTCATTAAATGTAGGTGCTGATAAATGAAGGCGTTTATTTGGTCTGAATTAATGTCATTCAATGGGGAATAGGACAAGATAAAGAAACGTTAGAAAAAAAATATTTCCGAGTGGGCCGATAATGATTTTAAAGAATCGAAAATGTTGTTAGAAGATATTATTCCACACATCAGATTTCATGAAACCTCTATAAATGATTCGATGAAAAAATAGAACCATATAAAAAATTATTGACAAAAAAATATATGAAGATATATTTTTTTATTTTCCGTACAAGAGACAACATCTATTTAAAACAGGTGCAAGATCATTAAAAAAAAAACAAAAAAATATCCAAGTCTGTGGCATTAAATAAGTAAAGTTCCAGAGAAAAATTACTGACTGTAATGATGTTAGAAACCATTTGTTTATTTATAAAGTTTTTTTTTATTTACTTGGTCGATATAACTATATATGGGCGTCTAAATTGTTTTTGATATGAGCAAAGTTTTATGTTGTGACAAATAAAATGGATTTATCGAAGTGCCGTCCAATCATATGCCAAACATGTGGCCTATGTAGTCTCGCATTTTTATCATTACAAAAATAATTTTTAAAAATAATGTCACTCTTTGACCAAGTGATTTTTTTAATTATTAATTAATCAATGGGGTAATTAAATAATTCTGTATTGATAATAATTCAGAGCCTTGCTTGAGAGTAGAGACAGGAAAGTTGGTATAAAATTATTTCTTACAATGATTTGTTTTGTAATAAAACAGATAAATTATTAATGTTAATAAAACACTTTAGTGATCGGAAATTAAAAAGTAGTAGTAGGGTTTAATTGTCCGTTTTATTTTTGTTCACAGCTCAGGAGTTTCGCCCACATTTTAGGAATTCACCATAGTTTAGTATTCGCCCCACAGTTTAAGCAATTTTTAAGTTTCGCCAATTTCGTCAGAAATTTTCACGCGCGAAATTAGGCCTAAATCAAAAATGCGTAAATGCCTAAACTATGTGCTAGTTTCGGCCACCATCACTGCTTTTTACGACGAAAAAGACTTAATATTTAATGTTAACGTGATGTTAAATTTTTGATCTCGCATAGAATAGCATGCATGGTTGTGCAATACGTAAAAAGCAAAAGGTCACGTTACGCTTCTGGTTGTAAACTTGTTCTTTTATTACTATTATTTATTTGCTATATGAAAGCTTGGCGTGTAACTTTTACTTGCTATTTTTCTTATTAAAATTACTGTTTATCTAGAAATAATTACCTTATGACTCTGTAAACTTTTTTGTTGTATGCGTAGTCGCAATTTTTATTTTCATTCGCTAGATTTTTTTTTTTTTTTTTTGAATTCCTTTTTTTGAAAATCTAAGCTTGAACCCGTTGTAAATAATAGCTTCTTTTCTCTTCTCCGTTGAATTCGTAAGAAAGAAGCGAATATGAACAGTTAGTAAAAAATCACCATTTCAACCCCAATTTTTGGGAAGAATTTTTTGTTTTTGTTGGATGGTAGGTAAATTTCTGAAATCAATCCACATGATTTATGCAAAGAAAATTTATTTCAATAACAATATCTTTTTCCAAAATTATTGTTTTTTAGTATAGTAAAGATCTCCGTTGATTCTTTCTTTTAATCAAAAACAGTATAGAATTTTTTGTTCCTGTTTTTTTTTTTATGGTGGCAAAGCCTTACTCGCGTAAAAAAAAAAAAAAAGACTTACACACGCACAAACACACTTTATATTTTATAAAAATTATAAATAAATAATATAATAGTTATGACTTTAGCCTGTCTCGGGAGAAATACCATTTGTAGTAGCACCGCGGCTTACAAAATTGCCAAGATTTCTCCTTTAAAGCCTTCTACACCAATAATAACAACAACAACAACATGATCGTAGAGATTTCTAAATTGAGTATTTCTTTGGTGGCAGAATAGGAAGAATTGTTGCAAGCCTGCTTCCATTCTCCCTACCTACAAATATTCGGCAGTAATACACTAGTCGGCAATGAGGAGGTCACCGCAAATCAAATTCTTTACTCAAAAGTTAAAAAATTTGAAATATTATGTGATCCACGTGTTGTGTTCTTAAAAAACCGCCATCATTCAATTCAGCTTTGTCTTTTTAAATTGAGTGTTATGCTCACGACCAAATCTTCTTTTGATGTAATATGTTCTTTAAATTTTTTGTTGTAAAGAAATTTTTATTTATTATAAAAGGAAATAAATCATATAAATAAATCAATATATTATTAACATGTAAAAAAAATATTCCATGAAAAAAAATTTGTTATACGAATTAGTTCATTTTTTTTAATTGTAAACCCTATATACAGGACTGGTCCTGTGGCTGAATACTCAGGACCTTCCTAATTTGAAGATGGCACCTATGATCTGCGTTGGCCCTTGCTAATTCAGGTTCTATAAAATCATGCAGATCATATGCCCACTTCCAAATTAGGAAAGTCCTGTATATAAGATTTGAAATGTTCCACTAATTTTTTATATTGTGCAATGTAACTTTACAATACACGACAAACATTCTGGCAATAAAAAGTAAGTGATAAATTGGATTTGAATTGGATCTGAACTTAATCTCCGATTTAGAGAGACAACAACTATATATTGGTGAAGTTTCAGGAGAAATGGGTCCTGTATAACATTTCGTGTAACAACAAACTTCCACTATGCTTGCCAAGCAATAAAAATTATTGGTTAACATTTTTGTTTTTAGCATTTGACCGATTGTTGCTATAATAAATTAGTCAAAATATCTAAAAATAGGCGTAATGAAATGAATTTTTAATAGATGGAAATCCAAGTTATCAGGTATTCTTCATATTACATGTATAATTTATGGACCCGTTTTCAAAAAGTTTATTTGTGCATTGAAAGAAATTATCAATGAGAAATTATTTATAGAATTGTTTATTAACTTTAATTGATGTAAAATTAAAATCATCAATATTCATTCGAACTAATAGCTTGTTCTTTTCCTAAAACGCAAAAATAATAAATTCGTGCACCAGAAAATCTATTAAATTCATATATAAGATCGCTCATAAATCAATAAATTATTAATTAAAATCCTCGGCAGACTAAAAAATACAATTACTATTACCGTGACAATGCAATCGGGGCTAGAACGTCATGTTTCTAAATATAGAACAAAATTACATATAAATATGCTTTAAATTCACTCAAAAAAAGTTTCTTCACACAAAATAATAACAACAACAACAACAACAACAACAATAATAATAATAATTAGTAAAGTATTAAATTATAAAAATACGAAAATGTTCAATTCATCCAAATTATCTATTATCTTCTTGGTCCTCGCAAGTGCTACATTATTCACTCATGCAGCTCCTACTAAAGCTGGGAATGAAATTACATTAGACGCTACCACCCTTTGCATTTACCTTCCTCCTGAAGCAGGAGGTGATATTGCTGGTCACGAAGACGATGCTGTACCATTCTGCAACACAACTACCCCTACAGGAGTAAAAGGAACAGTCAATCTTTTTCCTGACGGATTTATTGTATCATCACATTTCTCAACCGGAGATGGATTCGTTCAATATACAGGCAAAATCAACCCATCTGCATACAGCTTGGATTCAAATGATGAAGGTGGTCAATACGACAGTGTAGGAGCTCCACCAGGTGCACAATGTGTGGGAAATGGTTTTGTAAAATTTGTGAACTTAATCGAACCAAAAGATGAACGTTTCTGTATCCGTTGCTGTTCTGATAAAAGCCAATGTGATACTAGTAAGAGTACTGCTGGATGTCCAGATATCATCCCTGGTGATTACAGTTAAATCAATAGACTTTTTTAAATATATTAATTTAATTTTAATAGACATTTTTATTATTTCTTTAAAGTATATTAATTTAATTTATTAGAACTTTTACTTATAAATAATATTATTTATTATTGGTTGGTTATTTATTGTGCGGTTAAATAAATAAAGTATGTTTTTTTAAGGTATAAAAATGAATCATGACCAAAACTTAGTATCAAAACCCTCTTTTTCTCAGGGAATGGTTAAAGTCCCAATTTGGTAATAATTGTCTTGACTAAATAGTTTAGTCAGTTTGGCCAAATGCTTATTTAGGTTACCCTGATTTTTTTTATTAACACGAAATTTATAAATAAATGGCGCTCTCTATACTGTACAAAATCTGCAGATAAATTAGATAAATTTCATATTAATAATATTTGGTTAGCGTGCACCCGTTGAATTTTACCAAACTCTTATTAACATTAATGAAACAGGAATAAATCAACAAGTCCCAAATGAAGAGCAATAATAATGACGATGCTGATAATGATATAACTGAGGCGATTCCTCCTCTCACCCACCTGTATTTACGTAAAGATAGATGCCTTTGTTGGCAATAGAAAAAATCAAATTATACTTTGAACAACAATCAGACAAATCACATTTAATAGATAATGATTTGAGATTAATAAGAAATATTTAAAAAAATATTAATTCAAAGAACAAGCAAAAGTTGATGATTATATGAATAAATAAAATAATTTTTATATTTTAAAAGATTGTTTATATATTGGGCGACATGCTATCATACACGGGTTTCAGCCAATAATGCAATTTTATTCATAATTAATGATCATGTGACAATGATTACACTCTATCAGGACCCCCAGAAAGTTTACCCTGAAATTTTCATCCAAAATTGTTGTAATTTTACCTATGAAGCTCCTTAGAACATTTTATTTAAATATTTAAACAATGCTAAAAATTTTTCATCGGTTAGAGTTTTATAAATTTTAAATGTAAAGTAATCATATTCATCACTATTCACACTATTCACACTAGTTGAAACTGATAATAAGATAATAAATGTGAGGACAATTTATGTTCATCTTCACTTAATTGATGAATAGATGGAACACAAAAGTTGACTTTAGTTGATAAAGTTGACCTTGGTCACAAAAGCCAATAAAGTAGAACTATGTCAAGATTGTTTTACTATTATTAATATCTTCTTCCTTCTATCCTTCTTGGCCATTATCATTTTCATCTCTTTTATTACCCCATTCCTGGATTTTTTGGCAGGAGTTTTTCACAGTGGAGATTGCAATACCTTTTCCTTCTCTGTACAATTCATAGATTTCAGTTGACATTTTACTAGTGCTAGATGAAAATCTGAGTATCAAATTAAGGGTTTAAGATCCCTCCACAACTTTTCGATCTCTTCCAAGTATTTTTGATCAATAATTAATTTACTTTGATTTTATTTTTTTGTTTTGACTTTTCCAGGCCCTATTGATTGTATTAATATATTTTATGGATTATATCAAAGAGGTGGGATTTGGAAGTCTTATAATTGAGCAAAAGACCAAGGAAAATTCCAACAACCCACAAGTAAATTCACAGTAAAAAATATGCATTTTATTATTATTAGTGAAAAATATTTGCTTTTTATTAATGTTCAACAATGGTTATCAAAAGATTTGTAGTTTGGTTTTTTATCCGAGAATGAATGATGGATGTTCTTATAATGTTCATCAAACATGACGAGATTATCAAATGGCCGATTATGGTATTTGTTTACTTATACTGTTTGATACAAATCAAATTAAAATAAAGATTTATTACAAAACATTTAGTAGAGATTATGATTATTGTATATCAGTCATATGCGAGGGTATTATTGATTGAGTCATATGTAATAATTTAATCCCTAAAAAATTTTTGGTGCATATTATTAATATTAAAATGAAAGTTTCTTCGTCTTCGTAACTAATTTACATCATTCTGGACTCGTATCAATCATTTGCTGACTTCTAGGTGTGTCTACTCACCGAAAGGGTCAGTTCTTTAATTTGACAAAATCCTTCATAAATTTTCACAGCTCAAGAGAAAAACATCTTAAAACAAAGAAATTTTCATCATTTCTTTAGTGAAGAAACAAGTAAAAGTATTTTCGATGGGTTAACAATTGTATAGGAAAAATACGAAAATGGCCTTTATAAGGAAGACACTATTTCATTGGTCACAGAAGACGAGTTGAAAAATTGCTGCGATTAATGGCACGGCATGTCCAAAAACGATTAAACATTCCGTCATTCTTTCTAATTTCATTCTTGGACGGTAAATTCAAAGAATCTGTTTTTCATATTAATGACAATTCTACAAAATCGATATACAGGATAATAACGTGTTCAATTCATCACAAATTTTTGTTACATATAAAGTAATATTTTCAGCCAATCAAACTAATTACACATTTTTTCTTAATATGAATTTAAATGAACCGGAGGAATCGCAATTGAATTTTCTTAATCATGAATTACAAAAGGTCATAAAATCAAGTAGTGGTGGTGATAACGATGAGGACTATGAAAAATTTATAAATTCATCAGATTTTAAAACAATTTTAAGTTGTTTTGGAGGCTCGAAAAGTGAAAAGGTTAAAACAACAAGTTTGATATTTTTATCAAAATTAATCGAAAAATTTTACAACGATGCAGAAAAAAACTCCAATAAAACAACAACGTCATCGTCATTATTATTATTGTTTAAGCAAAAAACTTTTGAAATAATATCAAATTGGACAAATTCAACCAAAAAAATTGATAAATTATTTGGATATAATGCATTATTATATATATTTAAAGTTTTTTATGAATTAGGCGAAGAAGTATTGAACAAAGCGGGCTTTTTGGAAGAGATGATGGATTGTGTTGAGTTTGAAGATGAACAGGTACAATTAACAATTTTGGAAATCTTGTCCTTGGCTTGTTCACAAAAAAACTCTAGACTTTTAATTGCTGCAAATTGTCAAGAATATTTAAAATCTTTAATGATTAGTAAAAATCAGCATCTCAAATCTTTGTCAGCTGTTATTTCAACAAAGATTTTCTTGGATGAAAAATCCAAAAACAACAACGACAACGACCCAATTGTTAACAGTATAAATAATAAAAAATTAATAACAGATAAAGATCATGTCACTGCAGAATCAGGACCAGAAGAAGAAAGAGAAGAAATAAAATTAGCAGGATTATTTAGAAATCTGGTATTAGATTCTGATTCAAATTATGAAGTACGTAAAAATGCTATTGAAGGTTTAGCATATTCTAGTACAAAGGCATCAGTCAAAGAAATGATAATTGATCATCCCACATTACTAAAAGAGATATTTGATTTCATTTTAAACGAATTAAAAAAAGAAGAAGAAAAAGGAGGAGGAAAACCGATCCTAGATAATTCAATACTTTATGGAGTTGCAGTAGTTTTATCAAATATTACAATGTACAGAAAAAAATTAGATGAAACTGAAGAACAAATTTTAAAGTTAAAGAAATTAACTGGTGAAAATAATAACAAAAGTAAGAATAATGATGAGTTGGACCCATTGGATGATGATGAACATGTGGTTAAACGTAATAAAAAATTGTTAAGTATTGGAGTTAACAAAATACTAATCAAACTATCAAAAAATCAAAGTCAAGTAATTAAGCAACTAGTTGCAAATATTTATTTAAATCTGGCAAGAGATCGATCAAATCATGGATTGATGGTACAACAAGGTGCTATAAAAGCTTTAATTCCATTGGCAACGATGACAACGACAACAATGACAACAACAGCGAAAACAACAATGGCACCAACAAAAGGAACCAAAGAAAATTTGCAACAATATGCAACACAAGCATTAGCAAAAATTGCAATCACGATGAATCCAAATCTTGTTTTTAGAGGCGAGCGATCGACCGATTTGGTGAAACCGTTGCTTAATTTGTGTAAAAGCGAAAGTGAATTATGCCAGTTTGAATCATTGATGGCACTGACAAATTTATCTAGCACAGATGATAATATCAGATTACATATTTATCGGCTTGATGGATTGGGTATAGTGGAAAATCTACAATTATCTGATAATATAATGGTTCGAAGGGCAGCAACAGAATGTTTGTGTAATTTGATGTTTTGTGAACCAATATTTGAGAGGTATAGTGACTACGAGAAATCCAAAAATAAAATAAAAGTGTTGGTAGCGTTATCAGACGTAGATGATTTTGAGACTAGGAGAGCGGCAAGTGGATGTTTAGCAATCTTGTCAACAGATCAAAATGTGTGCAAGATGATATTGGAAAGACCAAGAGGTCTACTAACTTTAAAAGATTTGTTGGATGAGCAATCTGTTGAATTGCAACATCGAAGTGTCGAGTGTTTGAAAAATATAGCATCCACAAATAATAAAGAAATGGTGGAGAAATTGGTCGAGTCAGGTATACATAAGAAATTAATTGAATTAGTCAAAAGGAATAAAGAGCAAGTGGTAACAGCGACTTGTGTAGAAACATTAAAAGAAATTTCAAAACATGTAAATTTACAACAACAACTATTAAATTAAAATTTATTTATCACAACTTTTAATTGTAAGCTATTTGATGATGATTTTTTGCTAGATTGTTCAGCTTTAGGAATTTTATCCTCAAGAACACCATTCTCATATTTAGCAACGACATTATCAGCTTTCACATTACGTGTGAGTGCAAGTGCACGAGAGAAAAAACCCAACGACATTCTTGAATATGAGTTGATCCTTTGGTTTTTTTTCTTCTTTAGTTTTACCAGAAATATAGAGTATATTATCCCGAATATCAACATATATATTACTCTGTCGTGCTTACATTCCGTTACTAAATAGTGAACTATTACTATCACTCATGTCATATTCGCAATATTGTTTGTTATATGGGACCCCGGAAACTACATAACTAAAATTTTCAAATTTTACCAATGCTAATGAGTTTACCCAACACCTTTTATATTAAATTTACCCAAGTTGGTAATAAGTATTACATTAAAGGAAGTTTTTTTTTATTTAAAAAATTTAAGACAATGATAAGTCCTAGCAAAATCACAATCGAAATTTAAACTAGTACCATTACTTGTGAAGGTTTGGTATGTTTCCACCTTGTAATTCATGTACTTGTGAAAATAATCATCAATACATTAGCATGTCCATCCCCAATTAACTTAAACATATTTCCTACCAGCGAATGCAATAAAGCGGGTGGCATTAACAAATTCGATTCGGATTCAATTCAAATCAATCCAAGAATAATGATTTGATTAGATTCGGATCGATATATACTATCTAATACATTAACATGTAAATAAATTAATTCTTTGTTTCAACGAATCTTGTTTAAATTAAATTCGCAATGAATTTAAATTTTGCTTCACATAAAATTTGTTGAATACGTGCGATTTAAATCAAATTTCTTATGCGTCTCTCATTCTTATAAAAATTATGTACGGAATATACATACTGAAAATAAACTTTCTAGTACTATAAACATGAGGAAACGGATTTTCCTACTACTACGTGTTTTTCGTATTAAAATAATAATGCACCAAAAATATTCCGCGCTGACACCGTATGGTTCCGTGCCGTTTTCATATCTGTAGGTACGGGAAGTGCATTCTTCTGTATGTATTTCGTATCAACAATGCGTTGTTCTAATACATTCTGTATCAAAAATACGTTTTCCCGTATCTATTCAGTACTTATTTTGTAATTATTATTATTTATAGGATATAAATCTTTTATTTTAAGATATAGTATCAATTTTAAATTTAAATTTAAAAATCCGGTTTGATTCGACTCGATCCGATTCGTTCAATAAACTTTCAGAATATTTCCAACACGTCAAGGACACAGTTGGGATATATATCACGCAAAACGAAAATTTAGTATGGATTCAAAATGTGTTGTTTCAGGATCTGATGTGGAAATGTTCGACTTTGGAAGGTTAATGAATATATTTAACAACATTGGTTCTGTACATGTATTAGGGAAAATTTTTCTTGATTAAATATATAATTGAAAATTGATTTATATATTATATATTTATAGGAAGATTACAGGAAACAATCATATATGGAATATCTAGAAAACTAAACATACATGTTGTATATATGTTGAAAAAAAAAAAACCTTGATAAAAAAATTTTTCTTAATGAAAATATAAAAATTAAAATTTTTTTAATATTACAATCTAATTATTTCTACTCTTGATCTCTTTGAAATAAATTGTTCTGGTTCAGAATTATTTTGTTGTGGTGGATGAATGGTTAATTTTGCATATGTCCCATTGGATTGATTTTTAGAAACGTAGCCAGGATTAATACAAATCACATTGTTAATAATCTATTATTGTATATTTTAATTAATTGGTATCAATATAACTTAATTAGACGGATTTATATGATGTTATATAATATGTAAACATTTACCTTTGCAAAAAATTTTAATTTTGAAGGAGTTACAAGTACATCAGGAGTTGCTTGTAATTGAAGACTTGATGAGTTTTTTACATCAAGATTTATATCATTAATTACAGGTGGAAATAATGGATATAAACTAAAACCATTAATTAATCAATCAATCGATTAATTCATATATAAATTGATTTAATGATCATTTTGTTATTAATAGTACTTACTGTCTTTGGGTCAAGATGTGTTTAGCTAATCTTCCCATTCTATCTGAATCACAATTACTTGATGATATTTAAATTATGGATTAATATATTTGCATACACACACATATATTTAATTAATATAATTATAAATTTACCCTGATGTTTCATTCACACTCAAATGAAACAAAATATCAACATTATTTATAGCAAATGTAATCTCATCATTTACTCTAAATTGTGCAGGATTAGGCAATGTGATGGTGTTCTAAAATTATATAATATTGCCATTTTTTAGTATGAATATGAATATATTATTAATACCATATTAATACCATACTTGATAAAAATTTGCAAACCTTTGAAAATCTATTATTGAATGGTGGTTGAGGAAATATTGGATATTCATGAATTACATCTCTAGGATTAGGAATCACAATAACATTTATATCTGGTGAGTCTTTAATCAAAACATCCAAATATTTTGTAATATTATTATTAAAAATATCATCAACCAGCATTGTTGCTTTTCCTTGCTGAATAATTGGATGATTTTCATCAACAAATGGCCCCATCTACACAAATAAATTAATACATAGTCAATAAATGTTAACCATATTGTTATCACCACCATTGTTCTTGATTAAAAATTAGTATCTATTTTTACCAGAACCAATATGTTAGGTTTTTCTTTGATCATTTTTCTAATTAATTCTTTAAATGGTTCAAATGTTAAATCAGTGTCAAGTGTATATGGACCAGCTACAAATACCACTTCTAATGATTTCGAACTACTGCTGCTGCTACTGTAGTCATTAATTATTAATGTTTGATCATTTTCATTTATTTGGTTTGGAGATCGATAAAATGGTAATAATGGCAACTTTTTTTGTTTGGGAGAGAAAAAAGTAAACAGTGAGTATAACATAAATGCTTAACTTAAATGTCGATTTTTGGGGGAATATTTTACCTCGTAGATTTTTTTTACATACAAACAATTTCCTGTATTATTAACTCCTTCAACTCCAATAATCTAAATAAAGAGAAAGTATTAGAGAAGATATATGGAATGTAATGCTAAATGGTTGGAATCTTACTTGTCCAGGAAATAAAGAAAATGATGGAAGATCGTTTAGAAACAACTTGATAACACGTTCTCCAAGATTAATTGAAGTTACCAGCATTGCAGATTCAGGATTAAGTCTTCCTTCTGAATCACAACATATTTTACCAACTGTGAATAATTTACTCTAGAATCAAATAAATAAATGATAATTAATCCAAGAGTGTATATATATATAAATATAAATATGGGCTTGTTTTTTTATACACACTTCACCGACAATAGTAGGATCACATAAAGTTTCTTTGTTATAATGTTCACTTATAACTTCCACACATGAATCAATTCGATCTTCCAAAACTTTTTTAAAAAATTAATTTTTCAAAGATGAATTTTTTTCTAGAAAAAAAATCAAAAAAAATCAAATTTTCATTAAATAGTTACTTTGAATTTTTTTTGCAATTGTTTGATACATATATTTGAAAGGCTCCAATAATTGGCCAGCGAATGGTTCTATTTTACATTCTACAGCTTTAATCTTGTCGTTTGCCGATGTCACTTTTTTTGGCTCTATGTGTTGATTTAAGATCTCTTCTATTTTTCCTTGATTGGGACGCTCTGAAAAATTTCCTTTTTTCATGCTATCCACTTTAACTTAATTTCATTCTATTAAATGGTTAAATTTTTTATGATTTAATATCTTTGACAGGTAATAAAAAAATTGAACTTACTAATACTTTATGATGTTAAAAATGTGAGATTTGACGCGAAAAATTGGCGATCACACACACATGACATTCATTCATTTTTATTCACAAAAAAAAATTTCTTTTTTTTAAAAATAAATAATTTTTTGTATATTATAGTATTTATATAAAAAAACAAAACAAAAGACATCACAGATTGATAATGATAATGGTCAACATGTCAAAGCATATCAAGAAACAAAATTTTTCTAGTTCACCCTCACAACTAACACGATCAACAGAATTAATACAACCAACAGAACCTCTACCATCTTCTTCAACTTTTTCAATTAACGAAACTACTTCTACCACCACGGATTCAAATCATACCGGATCTTTGGCTAGCTATCTTGAAAAGAATTACGGTTCTTCAATTCAACACCAAAATTTCATCAAACAGTCTATTACCTACTCTTTACCCCAAACCACACATGTCGATCAGTTTTTAGGATGTTCTCCAATCGAAGATTATGAATTGGCCGATAAATTGGGAGAAGGAACTTTTGGTGAAGTTCACAAAGGTGTTCATAAAAAAACCAAAAAAATAGTAGCATTAAAAAGAATTCTAATGCACAATGAAAAAGAAGGAATCCCATTGACAGCAATACGTGAGATAAAGATCCTCCATCAACTAAGTCATCCAAATATTGTCACTCTTTCCGATATGGCTATTTCTTACAACCACGAAGTTCAAGGAACTTCACCAATTTATATGGTTTTCCCTTACATGGACCATGATTTAGCTGGACTTATTGAAAACAAGAGTGTAATTTTTTCTGTTCCTCAAATAAAATGTTATATGAAACAACTACTTGAAGGAACCCTTTACCTCCATCAACAAAATATAATCCATCGTGATTTAAAAGCAGCAAATCTGTTGATCGATAACACTGGAATATTAAAAATTGCAGATTTTGGTTTATCGAGGCCCGTAAAAAACAAGGCTTTGACTCCTTGTGTGGTCACTCGTGGGTATGGAGGGCCTGAAAGAT